AGATAAATCAATGATGATCCAGAAAAAGTCAATTGGATAAGGTTTAATGGTGTCAGACTTTCTGCTGCCATCTGGACGTTTGCAGCTACCACCAGAGATCCCAATAAACTCTTTGCCAGAGAGTTTACATGTATGGAACTTAAATAGAGTTCATGGACTCACAGCTAATATACGACATGTGACTAAGTATATTAAAGTTGGTCAAAAGTCTTGGTAGGATGGTAATAATATGTTGAATCATGTTATAAATATTGCTCTTCCTATGTTTGAAACCCTGTTTTCTACCTCAAATGCTTATGGTGTATTTATCTTCGATCACACAACTTCACATACCTGTGATGTACCAGATACGTTGCGCGCTTTCAAGCTTAACTTAGAACTAGGAGGGAAGCAGCCACAATTACAGAATATATGGTATTACAAGCCAGATGGGATAACCTTATACCATCAGGAAATGAATTTCAGGCCTGACGATCAAAGTATATCAGAGGCATGGCGCGGGAAACCAAAGGGTCTCTGAGTAATTCTCCAGGAACATGGTTTATGGCTGGCAAATGGAAAACTACGGCATGATTGTACCACAAAAAAAGTAATAGAAGATCGTATCCATCATGGCATTGACTGCTGCGCTCGCCAACTGCTATCACAGCAACCGGACTTTCTTGCTCAAAAAGGACACCTGCAGGAAACCATTGAAGCCTATGGTCATATTTGTATTTTCCCACCTAAGTTTTATTGTAAACTTAGTTGGGTCAAATACTACTGGGGCCGAGCAAAGTTATATATACAGAAGAACTGCAAATATACCTGGCCTGCCCTTCTAAAGACAGTTCCAGAAGCTTTCGATGCAGTCTCGCCACAACTGATTGTCAACTATTAGCATAAAACCCAGCAAATCACCTAAGCTTATCATCATGGTATCCGATATGCAACAAAGTAGTTCACTGATACAGTTTACCGCAGCCACCGCCATGTTTCTGGAACCTCATCCAAGCTATAGTTCTGTAAGTATATAGAGTTCCTTCACTGTCTGGCTTCATGATTCTTTATTTACTGAACTCTCATAATAAATAGGATATCGTAGGCATTAGATTCTAGGTATTATAGGATTCTGGGTAGCTTCTGTTATGGTGAATGAGAGTATAACAGTTCTCCTGTGGAGACCCAAGATTGACCTCTGTTATCAAGCTTTTTTCGTCCGGTGTTTTGGGTTTATTGTATATGTTTTTGTTCCTTCTGCGTCTGGTTGGTATTATGTCGTGAATGCAACTGTCTCCTGCAAGATTTCTTGGCACGGCTTGCATCGGTTCGGATAATTTCCATGTTTCACTCTGGTTCACCCTTTAAGCGATTTGCACCGTACTTCCCCACGCCACCCCAAAACAAGTACGATAAAGCTGAACACAAGCACCAGCATCGCTCCGCCTCTTCCCGATGCCAACAAACTTAGCTAAGCACCTCTCTACATGCACCGCTTTCCTATTATACACTCCTTTCGCACTCGAGCGCCTCTAACATGGTTGCCCCCTCCTCCCACCTCCCACCTCCTACCTCCCACCTCCCGCCTTCCCTACCACCCCTAACGATCCCCGCTAGAAACCGCCAAACCCTCTTAACACCCCGCCGAACGGCCGCAGCCCAATCCAGCACAATGGAAGGGCTCGCGCGCTCGTCATCTCGGCATACTATTTTGCCCCGAAGTTGAGGGTTTCCAAGCAGGATTGTGTCCAGGGTGATGGGTGGATTCGTGGGGTTGGTATCGGACATCTTGATTTGTGTATAGTCTGAATCTCACGCGGGCGATGGAAGGCGGACGGATGAGTGGAGGGGGACAGGGCTTGCTTCAGGGAGTTATTATGCTACTTGAAGTGTTTGTGGGTTTCAAGATTCTTGTAGGTTGAGGGGGAAAGGATGACTCCCTTTCAAGAGAGGGGAGTAGGGGGGTTTTTTGATCGTAAGTTGAGCCCAGTTGGGTTTGTCTGAAGGCATTCCCACTGTTTAGACGGTATATAAATTTACATTTCCCCAAAGCTCCTCGTTGAAGTCCCAAATAAGGACGACCACTTCCCGAGAAAGGGCCTGCTGAGAAGAGGATACGTCGGGTAGTTGTTGTTCCAGAGCGAGACCAGGGACAGATATGAATCATATTATTTGGGTACTTGATCATGGAAGACGCCAAGATACATCGCACTCCCATGGCAGTAACAGGAAATGCAGTACCGGTATCTAAATTACCCTTTGCAGCCCCTGCAAGCGTGCCGGTAGTCATAACGCTTCGTCCACGCATAAACCCAAGAACCGGCTGCCAAAGCGCACATCCAGAACCATCCCCCCTCACCCCCGACATGGGACAATCTTCCTATTCCGATTCCCAGACACCGAACTTGCAAAGGAATGCGCAATGGCGCTTAACCTACACCAGCGAATGTGAGAAAGCAGGAGAAAAGGTTGGGAGGGCGAATAAATAAAAAGAAACCGAAATTTATGGCACATGGCAAATGTCTACCTAATGGAAAGCATAGTATGATACCATAGACGTTGAAACTCCTGGCCAGAGATGTCGTACGCGGACAGCAGACTGAGAACAGTAGAGCATTGAGGCGCAGTGATTTTTGGTTTTCGTACAGTACA